CACCATATTTATCAGTTTTAGAGATGGTGACCATAAGAATAGAAGAATGCAAAATCATCAGCTTCATCTGTGAAATGAGGACAACGGCCTATACAGTCTCAATGGTCCCTTCTAGCCTGACCATTTATAATCTTCTAACTTAATTTACACCATATGTTTCATAAGTTCACAATATGGTTTAGTTTTAGATCCAGATAATTTTTTTCCCTCTAAATCTATTGACTAGTGCTAATTGTCATGCCTAATCTATAGGCCAATTTGTAAGGGGAAAAAAATCCATTGGGAACATTACAAAGCAACCACAATTCTAAGAGAGAAGAGTGAGAGACCCGCTGTGCCTCCATTTAAACAGCTGTTTCAAGAGCCTTAAGCACCTGGGGAAGTCATCCAGAGAAAGGCCATCCACTGCACTTTGATCTCTCCACTGAAGCACTGACTGCCCATATGTTTGGTGAGAGTCTGCCTGTTAGACTAATGCCTAGGGCTAACTTCTCCCCTTGCTTCAGCTCAGTAAATGATACCAGAGTGTTTCTAAAGCGTTAAGTGAAATAAAATTCCATCATGGTAGAGCTTGGGATAAAACTGAGGTTACGTGACATGACATTAATTCGAAAGATTAACTCAAGGTCATGCTTTATACATGAATAATAGGGAAAAGAAAAAAAAAGGTCAATGTATAAAATGTGAATGGTTTTTAAAATGCTTCTCATATGTTTTCTCCTTGAATTCCCATGAAAGTCCTCTGAGAATACCCATAATTACTTCCATTTTATAGATGAAGAAACTGATTTTCAGATAGTTGCTAAGGAACCCATAATTAGTAAGTATAGGATTGAGTTTAAAAACAAATCTCCTTTCATTTGTAACCTAGCAAGGTTATAAATTTTTTAATCTTTTCACCATTAAACATCATCATAAGACAGCATAGGATAGACATCAAGATATACTTAACCTTTAAAACATATATAAATATTGAAGGCAAAGATTTTATAAAGTGAAAATAATTTGTTCATAATGTAATTTAAGACAATTTTATGTAGCTTATTTCTATAAGAACACAAATTATTCCCAAATAACATTAAAATTTATTATCTCATTCTCTATCAGCAGGTAGCTTATTAAGAATATAATTGAGCACTGATGATGAATACTAATCAAGCATTATTTGATATATACAAAAATGGCATTTAAAGTATATTTAAATATTTAAAGCAAACATTTCTCCCTGAACAATGAAAAAATCAAGGCCTCTGTACAAACCAACCCTTTTTTATGCCAACCTTTGTCTGTTAACTATCTTGTCTCGTCTCTTCCTCTTGTTTACTAACAAAACTTCAAATAAGTAAAATCATCACTGCACACACATCCTGTGTCTATGACTGATGAGTTGCAAATAGTAATGGTGCAATGGCTCCAATGAAAATTGTCTAGGTGTGAAAAACTCGCTGAAATGCATGTTTTGTCTTTTGCCCCTTTCCTTCTTCTTGGATGGAAGGTGGGCATCACACTAGTTGTGGATCTGCCAGTTTGGGACTATGGCATGTTAAGTATGAAATATACTTTGCTAAGGTTGGCTGAGAAAAGAAATAACAGATTTACTAATGTGATGGATTGTGGCACTATTGTACCAGACTCAGCCTGCCAAACTCTGATTTTGCTGCATGATCAAAAAGTAAATGTGTACTTAATAAAATCACTATTATTTAGATTCTTGGTTATTTTAAGTTGAATACCTGCCAGATTTTCAGTGAACCAATCACTGCATCCAGGGAAAACAGTGGAAATTGACTGGCATATGTTTGGTGCATTGCATGTCACTCACTAAGTTCCTTACACTTACTTATACTTTTAAATTAGGACAGTCAGTTCCCACATAACACACACCATATAGATGCCTTAAAGAGAGAAAACCCATGTGATGGTGTAAAGAGGAAAAGAAATAATAAATAATGAGTTGTGCCTCACAAATACACAAAATAATGCCCATGTACCATATTTTTTTTAACTAGTCCTCCTTTTAGGAATGCCTACACAGTTTCTATTTTTTTTTTTTTTCATAAGCAGTGCCCTATTAAACTTTTTTGGATATGTAAGTTAAGAGTTTCGGGGTGTTTTTTTTAAATTCATTACTTGAAATATTTTTTAATTCATTACCTACATTAATCATCGGTACAAATTTTATTGGAGTTTCTTATAATCCTTAATGTATTTTGCTAAATTGATTTGTATTATGTTTTTATTTATTTATTTATTTATTTGTAGAGGCATGTTTTATTTATTTGTTTGTTTGTTTATACATGCACTGGGTACAGTCAGAAGTGCGGGAGGGTGAGAGAATTCACCAGAGCCAGAACGGGGAGCAGAGCAGGCAGAAGGACCGAAGTACACTGCTGAGGGGAGCAGCAGGCGGCAGGAGAGGTCCGCGCGCCATGTGGGACCCTCCTCTGGTGGCCTGGGAGCAGCCGGGGATCGAAACGGCGTCACAGAGGCCGCGGGCAGCTTCACAACCCAGTGCTCAACCGCTGCGCCACCGGGGAGGCCCTGTATTATGTTTTAATTTAAGTTTTTGCCTTGAAGTGTGTAAGAACCTTCATCCAAAGTACACTAACCATTATCATCACCAATTATTTTTATCAAGATATGCTTTGATTAGGTGCATATGCAAAATTATCTTATTCACTGGTTTTAATTGATTTAAACAACTATCTTATTGTATTAATTGTATGCATTTTAATTTGTACAATGTGAAGTAACTGATATAAATTTCAAATGTAAATGTCAATTAAAATCTCTATGGCGAGTTTTTCTAAAAATTGTGTGCTTCAAAATCACCAGGAGGATTACCTCCCCCACATTTCACCCCCCCATGCCATTTTGAGATATGTCTGCCAAGTAAAATTGTATATGTATAAGCTGTACAATATTATGATTTGAGATACACTGTGAAATGACTGTCACAATCAAATCAATACATTCATCGCTTTACATAATTAGGACTTTTGTATATGTAATGAGAACCAGTAGGATTTATTCTATTAGTAAAATTTCAAGTATACAATATGGTTTATACCTACAGTCACCATGCTGTGCATTAGATACCCAGAAATTTATTTATCTTATAACAGACAGTTTGTACCTTTTATCTGAAAAGTCCCCATTTCACCTACTCTCCATACTCTGATAACCACCATTCTACTGTTTCTACTAGTTTGACTTTTTCAGTCTACATATAGTATTAATGAGATCATGTAGTATTTGTCTTTGGTTAATTTATTTAGTATAATGCTCTCCAGGTTCATCCATGTTGTGGCAAATTGCAGGATTTCTTCCTTTACGTGGGAACCTAAATTCTACTTAGGTTGTTTCCCTATCTATCTAGAGCATGAGTGTGTTATCTCTTTGAAATAGATTTCCTATCCTTTAGACATATCCACAGAATTGTGATTGCTAGATTATATGATAGCTCTGTTTTTATTTTACCTGCATTTGTTTTTTTTTGCATATAGTTTATATTCTTAATATTTCTAACGATCACACTGCCTTTGTGTAAGAATTGTCTTTGTCCAGGCCTCCCCTGGTGGCTCAGCGGTTGAGTGCTGCCTCTGCAGCGCCAGTTCGATCCCCGGCCACCGGCGAGTGTCGTACTTGGTGCGCAGACCTGTCCTGCCGCCCGCTACTCCCCTCAGCAGTGTACTTCGTCACCTCTGCCTGTTCTGCTCTCTGCTCTGGCGCGTTCTCTCACGCTCCTGTGCTTCTGACTGTACCCAGTGCTTGTATAAATAAATAAATAAATCTTTAAAAAAAAAAAAAGAATTGTCTTTGTCCAATATGCCAAATATTTTGCCAGTTGTGTAACTGTCTTCTATTATTTTGAATTGCAAGATTTTAAATTTCAGAATAGCTCAAATTTATGAATTATCTTGCCACTTCATCATGTTTATATTAATTATAAATCAGTTAAATACATGTTCTTATATTCTTTTTGTTAATCTTAAAAACATCTCTTGTTTTACTGATCATTTCCATTGATACTTGTTTCATTCTTGATTATTTCCTATTTTATCATTTTTTTACAATGTATTTGGGTTGATAATATCTTTTCCAGCATGTTTAAGAAAATGATTACTAAAATTTATTATTTCCAATTTTCTTAAACACATTTAAACTATAAAATACTTTCCAAATTTTACTTAGTTTCATTAAACTGCACACATGATGCTATGCAATAATAAGATATTTTATTCATTATAACATTCATTTGTATATTTCAGTTCAAAAAGTTTGCAAACTTCTATTTATTATTTAATATCTAATGCTATATTGTAGCCAAGGAATGTTACGCTAAGTGAAGTTGATATTTTGTAATTTTATGAAACTCTTTCCAACCTATAAGCATTTTTTTTTTTTTTTGCGGGGGGAGGGGGGTAAGGAGAGAGGGAAATGTTGGAAAGAACTTCGGGAGTGAAAGCAACACGATGACAGAATACAAAGCCCCTGACTCTCCCTCCTCTCATTGTAGGGTGTATAGATACGCGCATCAATTACCCTCCCCGCCAGAGAAAACCGGAAACTAGAAAATATCCACATTGATACAAACCCGAAAAGCTGATATATACTCTCATCGTAAACCGAAACCTGGCACAATACCCAACAATCTAGAAAGAACCTCAACTCCTAGCTTCTCTTAGCAATGAAGGCTTCGACCACACATGCACTGCCCCAACTTTCACCGATGCCAACAGACGGACTGACCCCTAATTTACCTGTTTCTAGAATCGGCAAGGTCAGACATTCACCAATTCGCAGGGACCACAGAAAACAGGTCATTTTAAACTGACATAAGGCCCTGGTGCAGCTTGTCCCTGCGGTTCAACACAGAGCCAGTGGCAATAAGCCCAGCTTGCAGCATCTACCTGGAACCACCTAGAGGCACATCAAGCATCCCAACGCTTCCCACTTTTCAGACTGCTGCCTAAAGGTTTGGGTTTTGACTCACCTACCTTTGGGAACTGAAAGGGTGTTCTGGGAACTGGCTGTTTCCTGCTGGTCAGACCTGAAGAACTCACTGATGTCTCAACCCAGAGGCGCTCCTGCGGTGGCGACGGGCGGAGCTCTGGCACGTGCAGGTGTAAGGCCCTGGGGCACATCCGGTGCCCGCCCTTTTCTCTGTTCCCTCCCCCCACCACATCCGGCAGAAACACGCATGCGCACGCACGCACGCACACGCACATGCGCGCGCAAGCCCAGCCTCCTCTGGAAGGAGCCATGGTACCCGGCCGCCGCCCTGTCTTGTCTGGCCACAACCTCAGGGTCTGACTCCTCACCCCCTGGAAACTGGGCGCACACGCACCACTCAAGGCTGGCTTTTGCTAACCTCGGAGGCCACAGAAAACAGTGGAGGTTTTGAAAAATCCTGCAGACTCTCCTGAGACACCTCTTTCTGGCCATCTGCAGCAATAAAGTCTAGTTTCCACGTTCTTCCTGGAAGGGTTTGGCTGCATATCTAGTGCCCAGCTTCTCCTGCTGCTTTGCTAGACTTTTAAGTGATGTGTAAGTGACAGCAATCACTTACTTGAGTGGGCTGCACTCGCTAGTTTCCTGGAAGTTTGAGCAGGTGAGCACTTCCTGCCGAGCCCTGCCCCTTGCTCCAGAGCTAGGACCAAGCCTCCAGCTGACACACCTACTCAGAGTATGAGAGGGCCTAGCATTCAAGAGTGAGGTTGTGGGGAGGCAAGCAGCAGCAGTGAAAAGGTGTGGGTATGCAGTGTGAGGAGCGCAGATCTTTACCACAGCTCCTCCCTGTAACAGGGTGGTCCCCAGGAAAGGGGGAGGTTCCAGGTTTCCTGCCCCACCCCCTAATATCCCCACCTCATAGCAGAAGTCACCCGGGAACTCCAGCTCCCTGTCTCTTAAGAGAGAAGGAATTGGACCACATACCCAGCACCCCAACTTCCCTGGTTGCCCCTTGAGAGAATGGCTTCTGTCTGACCTGTCTGGGGACAGAACCGTCCTGACTGACAAGACTTGGCCACACCCTCATTTGGGAGGAGGGTGAAGGTCACCCTCTGAGTACAGGATTACGCTAATATCTCGCCTGTAGTAATCATTTCAGTATGTCTATCAAAACAGCATGCTGCACACCTAAGTATAGATAACTTTTTTTTTTAAAGTATATTCTCTGTCTTTTTGGGAACAGAGCAGTGTTACTTGTGTATCTGTTAGAGCAGTTTGTAAATTGTTATTCAAGCCTTCCAAAATTTCAGATGTTTACCTACTACTATATCGCTCATTATCCAGAATTGAAAAGCTCACTAATGACTGGTTTACTTTTTCTTTATTTTTTATATGTTTATTGAGGTAATTTTGAGTAACAACGTTGTGTATGTTTTAGGGGTGTGTGTTCACATCTCTGCAGTATATGTTATCACACCATACTGACCACCAGAACTCCAATAATCTTCCACCATAGTCCATTGACCGCCTTTCCCCATTAGCATCCCTTCACCCTTAGCTTCCCATCCCCACCTGCCCTACTGGCTACCTCAGTTCTACAGCCAGGTTTCTAAGGTCTGCTTTTCTCCATCTGTTCCTTTGCTTTGTTTGTAGAGTCCACATAACGGAGTGTGATGTCCTCCAGTATTTGTCATTTTCCTTTTGACTAATTTCACTTAACATAATCCCCTCCAGTCCATACATGTCTCAAATGGCAAACATTCATCTTTTTAGTGAGGAAATCGCATTCCCAACCTCATCTCTTAAAAAAGTGACTAAACATTTCCTCATATTCTGTGTGTTATGTAAATCTGAGGGGACAAAAAGGACATTTCTACCACATATAACCAGAGGTGGAACAGGGATCCTTATCACAAAGCGGTTCCTAAATTAAGAAACAAAGAGCAGATTAGTGTGGTATTTTTCTATTGTGAAGAATAGTAGCTAATTGTAGGTTAAATGGTTTTCGCTTCTCTGCCCTCCCATCATTAGGATGGCACTGCCTGATGGGGCACCTACAGTTGTAACATTGCTGTAAGCTGTCCTTGTTTACTTCTGTGGGCCATGGCTCAATATTGAGATAAGCACCAGGAGAAACAGAGGCAGGAGAGAAAAGGGGAGAAAGAAGCTAGAGAAGCCCAAAGTGAAGACTTGCCAGGGCCTTGGAGGCCTACTGGCTGCCTGCCCCGCCCGCCCTCCGCACCCCTGCCTGCTGTGTACCTGGTTGCTGCACTACGCTAAAGAGCTCAAAAGCCTGAGAAAGCCACCGAGGGCTCCAGCACTCTCCTTTACCCCATCTGCAGGATTAGAAAACCTGCTTAGTGGCCATCCTGCCACAACACTAATAATTCAGGTTGTAATATAGCAATAAAAAAAATGTAAATCCACATACTTTTGTTCCCAAGTAGTTATAAATGTTAGGAAAAAAAACACATAAGTCAAATGAGAACAAAGATGTTAAACTCAGCTACTACCAGACAAAATTTAGAAAACTAATCAAATATTTAAGCATAAGCATTAGAGAAGGTAGAGAAGGGGATATGGAATTAAGATTTAGGGAAGCACTATTTAGTGCCAGGCATTATACTGTGACTTTAGTTAGATTTTGTTTCATGTAATTCTTATCATAAAGCTGATCATCTTATCATAAAACATCTAATGTTTATAATGTACTAATGATGTACCTGATACTGTGCTAAATGTTTATATGCATCATCTTCTTTTATTTGCATGACAACTTATCAGGTAGGGGGTCATCCTTACACCACCACGCTGGTTTGAACAACTTACTGACTAAGTGGGGTTGTGCAGCTAGTATTTGGTATTGGTAGGATTTGAACCCTATCACTCTAACTACAAAACCTAAGATCTTGGCCATATAGTTAAGGATATATTTAAACACTTGAATATAGACAAAATATATCAGAAGTAATTGGAACCAAGGGCTCTAATCCACAAAAAACTTAACATTTTTATAACTGAAAAATCAAATACCTATAAACTGCCATACCAGCAATTATATTTTTAATTGAAGTATATTTTCTTTGTTATTAGTCTAGACCTTTCAGCTTTATTCTGGTTACTTTTTTGACTACTAATACGAGGAATGTCTCTTTTCAGTCCTTCGCCTTCAAGCTATTTTTTTCAAAAACCTCAAATTATCTAAAGATGAAACATTTGGATCATGTGTTTAATCCATTTTGTCAATCTCTGCCTTTTGAGCAGAGAGTTTACTTATTTACATTTAATGCAATTTTGACAAGGAAGGGATTATCATACGATTTTTTGATTCCTGAATATTTTCTAGCTTTTGGTGCCTCATTTTTTTTTAATCAGAGTCTAGCAAACAATTTACTAAACTCCAATGAAATTTGTGGTTTTAAAATATTAACCCATATAATATTCTGCATAAAAACAAGTTGCCCTTAATATTGTCATAATTATCATCATCATAAGGGAAATTTGCATTCTTTTAATTCTCTCCACTAGAATAGTTTTTTTTTTTTTTTCTCTTCAATCTTTTTCTATCATAGTTCAAACCTCCCCTTTAGATAAAGTGTCTTCTTACAGGAGAGTGGTGAAAACAATATTATTTTTTGATATTCTAATTCCAGTCCTTTTTCAAAACTCTACTCACATAAATATCTCTTAGACAATGTCTTTCATGTTATCCTCAACCCTGCAACACCCTCACCATTATTGTTAAATACCAAAATTCTTAGAAATTTACTTCTGAAACTCTGACATGAAGATGCTCACTTATTAGAAATCTTTGCTTATTGATATCAAATATAACAAGATGTACTTTAATATAATGTGAACTTGATTATCACAGGATAGCCTCATAAAAATATATCCATAAAGTTTAATATTGATTTGATAGTTCAACAACCTATTGATTTATTTTAGATTTGCCCGACATATCTATTATAAAATAAAGATTTGACTTTGTTCCTATAATTTGGAAATCAATTATCTTTTTAATCAGTCAGATTATGGACAAACATATGGGAAATGGATTTAAGTCAACAGACTATTACTTTTACTATAAGAATTAAAAAGAGGCAATGGCATTTGAGTGACTGCAACACTAATGTTTATCATTCTTGGCATCCCAGCCTGGCATAAATGTGTGTGGGATTGAATTGTAGTCAGAAAATTTCATGATAGAATGATTAAGTTATAACTTTTTCCTGATTGATAATTGCTTTCTAACCTCCACTCCACACCCCTCCCATGCTCTAATCATCTTGACTGGATTTGAGGATAACATACATATTTGCAGATTGTCCCATTGTATGAGATACTTCAAGGTTGGCACCTTTCAAATATTGCAAATTGTTCCAGTTTTAACCTTTAGCAACTGTGTTATATCTATATTAAAGGGACATATCTTCAAACTGTTCCCAAAATTCTCAGTTGTTGATAAATTTTAAGTTTTATTTCTTGAGCTAAAAGTAAAAACACCACCCCTTGTACTGTTTCTTAATTTATAACTATTCTCTGATAAAAGAGAAGATGCACTAAAACAAATGCTTTGATGTGAGTTTTGGCTTTAAAATAAATTACTACTGCTAAGTAAGAATAAAATAATATATTTCATAGAACTATTTCAAATAAAAATTATGAGTTCATTGTATCATAATATTTTATATCCAGCATGCAATGATTCTTTCTTTGTACCTGTTTAATTTTAGAGTCCTAAATAAAGGAACTGTAAATCTTCAAGATCTTTTAATGTTTTGTGTATGATAATTCATTTTGTCCTCATACTGTTTTGCAGATAAAGAAATGAGACACAATGAAATAAAATGACTTGCTTAGGTTCAACTACTAAAAGATGAAGCAGGATTCAAATATGAGCAGCCTTGTCCAAAGTCATGCGTGCTTTATTGGAACTGCTGGCAACATATGGTAAATAACAATAAATTAGATAACATATATTGCCTACAAAAGAATATGGGAAACTTATGAATATGGAAACTTGGGGGAAAAGGTATAACATTGTTTTAGTAGTAAGATGGCAGCATACCAGTCAAGGGCAGTATTTTTAATAAGATACATGTGAATCAGAAATTTAACAGTCTTTTTTTTTTCCTAACATGTTAGTATAGCATAATTGTTCTCTTTTTTATTCCAAAACATATTTATAAGACTGCCACTATTATAATTACCTATTATAATTTTTTGGAAGTTCTAGACAATCAAGAAAACTAATAATAGAAATAGATATTTGAAAGCAAAGAAAACCATCATTGTTATTTGCAGAAGGGATTATATTCGTTAAAAATATCTCCCTTTTTAAGAAATTCTATTAAAACATTGTTGGAGTTCAAAAAAATTCATCTCATTTGAAAATAAAATGGGAATAGTTTCATATGGCAACATAAAATATAAAATGCCTAATAAGTAAAATGAAATATATAGAACTTTAAAAATGTACATATACATGTTTCTTGGAGACAAAATGAGGCAGAAAAAGATATTGGATATGTACATTTTTTAATAGATGGTATTGCCTTTATAAATTCATTGTATACCTATTTGTTAAGTAATCAGTATAGGCTCGTACTTCATGGGAAAAAATGTGAACTAAAACATTGCTATTAGAGAGCTTCCTGATGTGTTACGAGAAGGATTAGTCATATAAGACTATAGCTCTAAAGTTAAAGTCTTCTAAACTAGTCAGAAAGAACAGAAACATTTCCCTAAGAAATAGACAATGTATCTGAAATTTAAAATTAAAGAGACTTCCAGCCTCCCCGGTGGCGCAGCAGTTGAGCACTGGGCTGCGAAGCTGCCCGCAGCCTCTGCAGTGTTGGTTCCATACCCTGCTGACGGGCAAGGGTCCCACATGGCGTGCAGAATTCTCCTGCCGCTCCTCTGCTCCTCTCAGCAGTGTACTTTGGTCCTTCTGCCTGTTCTGCTCCCTGCTCTGGCTCTGGTGAATTCTCTCACCCTCCCACGCTTCTGACTGTACCCAGTGCTTGCATAAATAAATAAATAAATAAATAAATAAATAAATAAATAAATAAATAAATAAATAAATCTTTAGATGAATAAATAAATAAATAAAATTAAAGAGACTTCTAGATGCAGAGAATGGGTGTGATAGCCCCTTCAAAATAGTAGAAACCTATGGTAATTGTTCCTGTCTGGTTAAGGTAGAAACATAGCAATATTAGGCACAAACCAATGTGAAATTAAGAGTGCATAAAAGGAAATTCATGACAAAGTAAAATTGTGATGGTATGTGCATATCAGATGAGATTATTCCTATTCAAACATGTTAATCTTGTATTCTTAACAAAAAAGGGAGAGCCTTGTAACATTTTAAGAAAGAAGAAATATAAGCTAAAATTTATGCTTTATAAAAATCACCTTAGCTGCAGTGAATGGAAAAATTGAAAATGGCATAAAAATTCAGGGAAACCAGAAAGGCAAAAAAGAAAATCATAGAGGGTGAAGTCAAAGATATCACCCAGGCTTCTGACTGAAGTAGTGTCTTTCAGTAAAATAGGAATACTAAAAGAACCAGAGATACTGGAACAAGGAAGTAGAATAAACTAAACATATATCTATTGCCCAGTAGGAAGACAAACTACATGATAATTTATCTGCCCTCATTACAATTTAGTGTGTGATAAAGATGTGACTTCATATAATATATATAATAGAGAAATAGAAATATTTAATGAATGTTGATGAAACAAATGGCTAAAAATTAATTATGTAATTTAAGTCTTTTAACAAAATAAATTTAATCAAGTACTTTAAATAATGTTTAAAAAATAAATTTAATAAGAAAATTATCTTAAGTGAAATATTCTAGGATTTGGGAGTATTGTGATCATTAAAAATTGAAGTCTGCTTCAAATGGACCTTTCTATACTCTGTTTTGTGAGACTGGGCCTAGTACATTGCAAACCACATCACTCCTTTGACAGTTGTTCCTATTAAGTTCTTACAATAGAAGTAAGTAGAGTAAGACTGTAGGAGAAAGCATGTGCTACTTCTGTGTGTTTCCTTGTCCTATCTCCATTACCATGACTATACTGCTTTGCTCTTGCAACAATAGAGAACTGGCCCAGAGCAGCAAATGATTTCAGTTTTCCATGGTATGGAAACACATGTTTTTTTCATGCTTTGCCATTTCTAAGATAGCCCCAACTTGGAAGCACTCTATCCTCAAAGGTCTGAGTCCTAGGTATAAAGGACTCCCCCATCAAACTTCTAAACTCAGCTATCCCTTCCTTATCTGAAGACTGTCACAGCTTCTCTCTGTAATGTCTTAATATCTTAATGTTTTTTTTGTCTCTCTAGTTCTCTAAGACCTTGTTTACAGTTCTATACCAAAATTCTATTAAATTGTCTCATGAAGTTTCTGTATATGGACAAGACTGACTGATATCTGTTATTAACTATATTAATTAAATAAATCTTAAAGAAAATAATTACAGATTATTAATGATTGTTAGAAATAAACAATATTCTCTGGGAACCTACTGTTTGTTAAGCACTTCACATTCTAGTAGGAAGACAAACTAAACGAATCATGTAAGCAACATACATGAAGAGGAGGGGGAGTAGAGTATGAGTTAAGGCTTAAACACTTTAAGGTGTTTAACTCACACTTGGGATAAGTTCAAGTGTCAGTAAGTGCTTTGATGACAGTGTTATGCTGGAGTAGTGACAGTGGCTAGGTAGGGAGTAAGATGAATATTTGATGAGCCTTAAAAGATGGTTAAAAGCAAACCATGGAAACGTAAAGTCAGAGCTTCCTAAGCAGTAGGAAAAGCATTTATATCCTGAGAGTGAAATGAGCTGTTCTTGTAAGAAGAGAAAAAATGTTTCTGCAAAATATAAAATAAAGGAGGAGAGTGGAAAGAAATGAGATTAGAAAAGTAAGCTGAAATCAGATCATACAGGGCATTTTAGATCATGAAAAAATGTTTGTATTTTATCCTAGTTAAACTGAGAGCACTTTGAGAGGATTTAACCTGCAAATGATATTATCTGACTTATGCATTTAAAAGATCACTCTAGCCACAGAATGATGTATGAGTCACAATGGCCTGAGTAGGATAGGAGTCAAACCAAGAATGGAAAGGCAAGAGAGCAACTAGCTTATTTCAAGTGCTTAAGCAGAGGTGGTGGTGGCATTTATTAAAGGAGTAATCATTAATTCAAAGTATGTGTATACAGGTTAAGCATGAAAATATTTATATACAAGAATTTTTATGGAAACATTTTAAATCAGGGAAGGTGGGATCTTAATGTCTACAAATAGAACACAAAGAAAAATAAAATTATGGTATAACAATAGTAAATAATACTATAAAACTATTGAATAATTTTAGACTTTGTATATAGAAAAAATACATGTGTAGAAAATATACTTATGACTTACATGAAAATATAGTACAATATGTCGAAATATGCTTATAGCCATGGAAAACAGTGAGTTGCGACCTGGAGTTTGCATGACTAAGATTGGTTTCCACTTACACTTTCTTTCATGTTTTTATTGTCTGAAATTGAGCTTTCTTTTCTTTATGACTGGAAAAGAAAATTAGAAAAAAGGGAATATGTTTTAAAAGAGAAATCAGAGTCACATTAATAGAAGCAGAAAAGAATTTGACAAACTGCAGCATCTATTAATAATAAACCTTTCAGTAAACTTGGGTTAGAGAGGGACTTTCTCAACTTGATAATATGTACAAAATATGTACAAAATATCCACAGGTAGCATCATACCTAATAGTAAACAAAATTTGGATCTTTCCCAGTAAGATTGGGTATATGCAAAGATGTTCCCTTTTACCTTTCCTTTTAAACATCAAACAGGAAGTCTTAGTTAATGTAATAAGACAAGAAATAAAAGGTATACAGATTGTGAAGGAAGAAATAAAACTGTCTTTATGCACAGATGACATGTTGAAATTTGAAAGAATCAACAAAAATCTCCTGGAACACATAAGTAATTTTGAAAAATTTGTAGGATACACAATTAATATACAATAGTCCCTTACTTTCCTGTATACTAGCAATGAGCAAGTGAAATTTGCAATTAAAAACATACCACCACTAATATCAGCAAACAAAAAATTAAATATTAGATATGAGGTATTAAATATCATGTGCAATTTTGTATGTGCTATTATACTATTACATTCTGATGAACAAAATCAAAGAAACTAAGTAAATGGAGAGAGATTTCATCCAGTAAAAAAACTCAATATTGTCAAGCCATCAGTTCCTCCCAATTTAATCTGTAGATTCAATGTAATAATAATCCAAATCATTGAAAGTTATTTTGAGGATAGCAACAAAGTTGCCCAGAATTGCCTACACATAAGTGAAGAACAAATTAGAAGACTGACACTGGTACCTATGGCTGACACTTACTACATAAAATTACAAAAGATAGATCTCAAAATATAGAGCTAATACAACTAGACATACACCTTATAAAACTTAATATAGACAGACTATATACTTGTCACCAAAATTAACTTAAAATAGATCACAGACCCAAATGTAAATATATGAAACTATAAAATGGGTAGAATAAAATACGAGAAAACCTAGATGACTGTAAGTATGGTGATGTCTTTTTATTTGCAACACCAAAGAAACAGTCCATGAAAAAAATACTTGATAAGACTGCATGCACTTCATTAAAAGTAAAATTCCTTAACTGTGATAGACGCTGTAAGAGAATGGAAAGACCAACCACAGTCTGGGAAAAAATATTTGCAGAAGGTACTCCTGATGAAGAAATGTTATCCAAAAAAAATACGAAGAACTCAAAGTTTAAGTGAGGAAACAACCTGTTTTTAAAAGGAGACAAAAGTGGTAATAGAATCCTCAGCAAAGAAGGTATACGGATGTCAAATGAGCATATGAAAAGA